AAAATCCCTATTCCCCCCCCCCACCCCACTAACCTGCTTTCCAGCTCCGTTCTTCTGTGCAGGGCAACCAAAGAAGACCCAGGCTATCAGCTGGATCTCAATAGGAGGCAGAGAATAGATGGGGTTGGCGGGACCAGTCAGAGGTGGGATTTGCCAGTTCTCTGAACTACTCAAAATTTCCACTACCGGTTCTGTAGAACCGGTCAGAACCGGCTGGATCCCACTTCTGATCCTGCGCCCAGATTTGCAGATAGAATCATTCTAGTTTTTAAGATAGCCTTTAACGTACCACAGTTCGCTTAGTGAACATTGGAAGTTAGGACAGCAGTGAAAAAAGTGACTTATCATGACCATTTTTTTCACACTTATGACCGCTGCAGCATCTCCATGGACCCGTGATCAAAAATTCAGATGCTCGGCAATGGGCTCCTGTTTATGACGGTCATAGCGTCCCGGGGGGGGGGGGCACATGATCGCTTTTTGTGACCTCCTGACAACAAAGTCAAGGGGAGGGAGCCATATTTACTTAACAACCTCATTTCTAAGGTAATAAGCACAGTGATTCAATTAACAACGGTGGCAAGGAAGGATGTAAAATGAAGCAAAATTCATTTAACAAATATGTCGCTTAACAACAAAACCAGTGTAGGTGTAAGTTGAGGACTACCTATGTAGCATTTTGAAGCCTACCCACCTTTTTGAAATTTGGCAAGCTTGGGGGACAAGCCATAAGAAGATAAAAAGAAATAAAATAGTATTTGAGGGGCTGCCACAAAGAAAAGGGTCAATTTATTTTCCAAAGCTCTTGAAGGCAGGACAAGAAACAATGGATAGAAACTAATCAGGGAAAGAAGCAACCTGGAATTAAGGAGAACATTCTTAACAGCCAGGACAATTAATCAGAGCAACAGCTTGCCTTCAGAAATTGTAGGGGCTTCATCACTGGAGGTTTTTAAGAAGAGACTGGACAGCCAATTGTCTAAAATAGTATAGGGTTTCCTTTTTGATCAGGGGGCTGGACTAGAAGACCTCCAAGGTCCCTTCTAACTCTGTTATTCTGTTCATCTGGTCTGCTTAGTTTGTGCCCTACTATTTGCAGTTCGCAGGGCATGCAAAAGTCCAGCAATGAAATAATCCCATCTGACTTTCTTTGCGATACCTTCCAAATGAAAAGTGGAACCGTTGAAAGAAGGCGTTCGTTCGGATTCGTGCAAAAGATATCAGCGAACTTATTTTTATTTTATTTATTTATTTTTATTTATTCATTTGTCAAAAGCTTACAATATAACAGAAACAAGAATAAACATAAATTTAAGTACAAGAAATAGGAACTAATAATTGGGGACAATAGGACAGGGACGGTAGGCAGGATTGTGCAACTTATGCACACTGAAATTTAAACTTAAATTGGAATTTGGAGCTTTGAGGAAAAGCCTTTTTTCTTTTGCTTTCGAGAGCTAACTAGGAGCTCCTTGAAACAAGATTCATTGCAACTGGTGGGTGGAGGCTAAATCAAAAAAGGACTCCAGACAGATGCAACCTAAGTCTGCTTTGGTTTGGAAGAGAGCCGCAGAAGCTTCCCTGAGACAAAAATCTTCAAAGAGTCAAAGCCAGAAAAGAAACTGAGCTGGGGGTGAAAAAAAGATCGGTGCCCTATTTGGGCGTCTTTGACAGCAGCTGCTCAGAGTGTTCAAAAGGCCCGTTTTGCAAAAAAATGGACCCGCACAAACAAAACCCGTAGCGTTGGAAGCGTCAGGCCGGTGCCCATCTTTTGCAAGATTTGCTCAGCTGTCGAAAAACGTCCCCAAGTGCCTGCGGGTTTGTGCACGCACACAATGGCCCTGCTTCTGAAGGGTCGGCCAGGGAGGCAAATCAGCTGTCCCCTGTGGCACATATATGTGTGTGCGTGTGTGTGTGTGTGTGCGCGCGCGCGCGTGTGTGTGTGTATGCGTATAAATAACAGGGCCATCTTTCAATCAGCCTCCCGAGCCTTGTTTTATTATTGTGGGAAGAACTATCTATCTGGCTCAGTTCCAAGCCAGGAGAAAAGTTACTGGAAACATGCAGGCTGATTGGGAAGATGGTTTATTGATGAAGCAGAACCACATGGGTTCTAGGCAGCTGACCACATGCAGTGGAGAATGAGGGGTATTTATGCCTTCTCTTGGGCTTTGCACTTGAGCTTCCTGTTCCTGTGCAAGAACATGTGTTCTATTGGCTGTTGGTTGTCAGAGCTTCCAGGTTTGGTTGAAGTTTGGACTGCTGATGCAATGAAGGGGTGCTGGGCAATTCCTATTACTGGTAGAAGGCTAATCCTACTTTGTTCAGACTATGCTGCATGGAATTTTTGCCTATGAATAGAGTTACCTAGATCAGGGGTCTTCAAACTTGACAGCTTTAAGACTCGTGGACTTCAACTCCCAGAATTCCTCCTCCAGTCATGTTAGCTCAGGAATTCTGGGAGTTGGAAGTCCACAAATCTTAAACTTGCCAAGTTTGAAGACTGCTTGTCTTCTTTCAATCAGCTCTTTAGTGCTGGCATCTGCTGAGGGCTATTAAGAAAAGGTGGGGGCTGTTTTCTCCCTCTAAAAAAACATGTTTCTCCATTTCTCATCCAGGGAAATAAAATATTCTGCCTTTTTAAAAAATATTTCTCAAAATGTTTCATTCTTCTAGGAGAGGGGTGGGTGCTAACTTCCTACATTGTCAAAAGAGGAGGGACTTCATTTGCAGTATCATCCTCATGAAAGGGCTCTTCCCAATGTTTTATTCAGCCCTGGGAGTTCGTATGTATGTATGTATGTATGTATGTATGTATGTATGTATGTATGTA